GGGAGCACACCCGCCAGGGGCCGACCTTGGAAGTCAGGCAGCTCACTTAGAACGGCGGAGCTGGAAGGGGACCCTGTGGATCATCCAGTCCAGCCCCTGTTCTATTTCTATTCAATTTTTTTTTGTTATATCAAATTGCATTTGATTGGCTGTACTGTATTTTATCTGTTGTAAACCACGGTTCTGCTGCCATGGGGCGAAGAACAGGGGCTCTGCTGGAGACCAGCCCTCCCTCCTCTGCTGCCTGGGCTGCAGGGGGGCGAGGCGCTCTGCACACGTGCCAGAACCCCCTCGGGACCAGGCAGCGAGCGGCGAGGCGCCTTTCCAGCGGTGCGCCCCTACCGGGCGCCTTGGGTATGGCGGTGGCGGCTCTCCGGCTGGCTCCCAGCCCGGGAAGGTGGGGCGCGGCAGGCCGTCCCAGTGGGTGGCTCATCCGGCGTTGGTGGGGGCGCCTGGCCAGCCAAGCCGGGCTCGGTGCGGGGGCGCCAGAGGGACAGGGGCACCCGGAGAGGAGGGAGAGGAGGAAGGCACCGGCAACGATCCAGCGCCTGCCCTGCCCCCTTCTCCTCTGCTGGAATGAAGGGAGGCGGGCCGGAGAGATCAACCTTGCCAGGTCTCCTTGGGAGCAAGCCCCCTCGGAGCTGAGCGCCCTTGGAGGAGAGAAGGAAGGAAGCAAGGAAGGGGGGGGAGAGGCTGGCTGCTCCAAAGCGCCGGGAGGGACTACAACTCCCATCAGGCCAAGGTCAGGGATCGGGAATGATGGGCCTTGGGGCTGGAAAGACGGAGTGCCCCCCGGGTACCTCCCTCCCTCCCTCTGTGCTCACTTCCCTTCCCCGCCAGCAAATCTAAAAATGTTTGCAAACTCTGTTAGGGGAAAAGTTTGAGCAACAGAAAGATTGTAGCCTGAAAAAGCAGACAGGGGCCGTATCCGAATATTATATAGGCGCTATGTAATAAATAGGTTTGTGTCGGAACATCCATAACATATACAATGCGCCTGTGTTATGATATCTAATAGGAATATAATGTAACTCTATCAGGATCTATGTTGCAAGGATGAAGTTACAATACTACTGTTCATTCATTCATTCATTTTTCTTAATACAGGTCCCATCCTGCCTCTAAGAAGGCAGAGCGCTGATGCAGAGGAAAAGGGCAGGGGAGGAAGGAAAGAGAGGCCGGCCCCTTTAAAACCCAATCTTCCAATTCTTTTTATTGAGATCTTTTGCACACAACGTACCCACCTGCTACATATTTGCCCACTTAAAAAAAAGTCTTTTCCCCCATCCGGTCCCTGCTCAAAAGGAAAGGGAACGGCATCCAAGCCCATCGGAAGAAGCCACGCCGGTCCGCACGGTCACCACTTGATACTAAACCCACTGTTGTTTTTCTCCACCGCGTGGTACTGCGTGTGCAGCGCGTCACGAGCCCGTCCTGAATCAGGGCCGCCCAGCCACTGGTGGTAGAGCTCCGCGACGGCCGGGTTCGTCTCGGGGGCTTGAGGGCGGACGGATCCGTACACGCGCTCCACGTCCTCCAGCAGCTCCTTGTGGGCACCGCCGTCTGCTCTGAGCTGGCCGCCTCCGTTTAAGCAGCCTGTGAAACAGGATGACAAGGGCTGACCACCCGGATAGTTTCAGGCCCAGAAGGGGTGCAAGAACCCCATTCATCGCGGGGCAGGGGAACATGAGATTTGGAGTGCCTCAAATGGTCCAAAGGGATTAGGTAGCATGCGGGAGGGTCCGAGCAAGAGAACCTGCAGCAGGCACAGTCCGGAGGAGACCGTGTTCTGCGCTTGCGGGCGGGATGTTAAATTCTCCGTCGGTGGGAGGAAAACTTGCGCCCCACACCCAAATTACTTTGACATTCCCCCGGGCGCTCGTGGCCGAGAACCCCTAGGTGGCGATGCTTTTAAGAAGGCACTGCCTCCTCCTCTCTTCCCCGCGCACTGCAGGGGCCTGATCCAACCTCCCCCCCCAGGGTCTCACCTGAAGGGCAAGCCATCACTTCCACGTAGTGGTAGGGGGACCTCCCCCGTTTGAGTTTCTGCACCAAGTTCTGGATGTTCCGGAAGCCGTAAGCCAGGGCAAAATGCAAGAGGGTCTGGCCGTCCTTCTCCAGCGTCACCTCTTGGAAATCCTTGTTCCTGGAAGGAGCAGGAAAGAAAGACCATCAGAAAGGGTGACACGTTTTCTCCCCCCCCCACTGCGGTGGTGACTACACAGGCTGCCCATAAACACTCCAGCTGTGTAAGGGTGGGGGACGGACTGGCCACCGAAGGTGGAAGAAACAGATGGTTCACGGAGGGAGGACGCTTCCCCCACCTTCAGGAATTGCTCAGCCTAAGCAAATAGTATCCTGCTTCCTGCAAATAGAGCAGGGGCCCCCCTTATCTGCAGGATCAGCATCCACAGATTCCCTTATCCACTTTCTGCTGAGTTGCACTCATTTGGACTCCTTACTTCAGCGTCTTATATTGCAGTTCTTCCACTTGAATCCCAAACAGTTCCTTGGCGGCGTACTTGTAGACGTGCTCCAGGTAGCCGCCGGAACCACCGCCCAAGTGGCCGATGAGCTCCTCCTCCAAAAGACTGTTGAACCTAAGGGGAAACAGCAGGAGAAAAGCCACGGAGGGTCAGATCCAAATGAAGTCACACAGACCCAGAAGATCTCAATGCATTAGACCTTATACAGCAGGAGCCCCACATCTGCAGGGGGTCAATTCCAAGGCCTCTTTTACGGATGCGGGAAAATGCGGATTATAGCAAACGCTAGTCATAACATGGTCAATGGCTCCCTCTACTGGCCAGTTCTGGTAACTTCATCGTTAGAAATATATGTTTCCAGGATTTTTCTTTTTGTATATTTAATATTTTCAGACCACGGATACTGATCCCGTGGATACAGGGATCCTACTGCATTGTGCAGTACATTTCACTTAGATTTCACTATGACCAAGCGGTATATGGATTCTGTGAATAAATACCAAGCACAAAAACGACAGTGGCATCTTGAACCCTAACCCCGCTCATTTGGCAGAAACTTTCATGGTCTACAGACCCACCCACCCCCACATCAGAGGTGCCAAGGGAGTTGCAATCCAGGAAAATGGGTTGCCAAATAAAATCTGCAAGTCTTAGAGGAATTTGTGAGACTCATGCGTTGCCTTGACCCACACGGCTTCTTCTCTCCTGGAAAGAAACAGGGAAGGAAACACACAGGCCAGCCGAGGGAAGAGAGAACAGATCCAGAAAGGCGGGTATCGCAGGCTCTTACAGGCTATCTAGAGGGGCCGGATCCACTTCTGGGAGGAAAACCCCCTCTTGGTCCAGCAGCTTTAGCACCTCTCCTGAAAAGCAAAACAGACGGAAGAGTCTGATTTGAGGTAGCCCAAAAAGAGACAAAACCCGAAAGGATTTGGTTTCAGAGAAAGAGGGATTGGGCCCCCTCTCCATTCAAGCCGTATCTGGATCTCTGCTTTACCTGTTGTGATCACGCAGTCTACCTCCCGGGTTTGGTGTTCCTGGATAAAGAAATCTGGCCGGGAAGCTTCCAGCTTTTTATCGTAGCAAGGCATTACCGTCACGTGGTAGATCTGGTCAGGCGTTAGGCACTAGGAAGAAGGGAGAGGGTCATAAGATCCTGACGGCTGCACAGGATTGGGAGAAAAACCCCTCTAGGGCTCGTTCCGGTTCCCACCACCAGCCTGAGGCTCAGTGTCTCCTGAAAAGGCAGGGCAGGCGTTATGAAAAACATATTAACCTTTCTCACTGTTTACGTCCAGCTACCTGGTCGTCTACCGGTGGGACTCCCAGGTAGATGGCCATGGAACGTGGAGCTTCCCTCTAATTCTGGGACCTTCCTCTCCAAAAATCTTTCCCAATTAGCCTCCCCCAAGCGGCTGCCCTCCAGAGGACGACCTTAGAACTGGAGGAGACCCTACGGGTCATCAAGGCCAAACACTTGTCCAGGAGGCACTGTACGGATTCCCCCAAGCGGCTGCCCTCCAGAGGACGAGGACGACCTTAGAACCGCGGTGCTGGAGGAGTTGACCCTACGGGTCATCAAGGCCAAATGCCTGTCCAGGAGGCACTGTAAGGATATCGAACGCCCCACCTCTGGCTCCACAGCCAGAGACCCAAACCCCCTAAATCCAATAGCTGGATTACAAACCCCATCATCCCCAGCCAGCGGAGCTCAACCCCTTTCAAGAGAACCGGGTCGGGAAAAGCCGTTCTAAAGCCACGAAAGCCGACAGCTGCCCCCTTCAGGGACGGATACAGAGGGACTCCCCACTCACGTCTGAACGCCCCTTAGCCAACTTTTGAGCCAGTCAATGGCCGGGGAGGCAGGGCGGTGTCCCTGGGGCCAGCTGTCCAAAAAAATCATCCCCTTTGGGAGAAGGAAGGGAAGGAGGGAGGGAGGGAAGGAAAGACCTGTTGTTCGGCCAAGTACCCTTTGACCAAGGAGCCCATAACCTGCTGGGGAGACCTAGTGCTGCTGATGTAGGGGATGATGAAACGGCCGTGGGTTTTTTCAGCATAACAGATCCAGCCTGAAAAAAAGAGAGAAAAGCCAAATAAGCAAACCCATCATTAGTGCAGTTTATTATTGGTTCAGAAACCCTTTTTGGCTTCCAACGTCAGGTGAATTCCGGACGGGACGGCGGCATCAATCCAGGCCATCCCCTGGTCCTTTGGTTCTCCCACCTCCTCTCCTCTCCCTCCTCCCCATGGCGCCAAACAGGAGGAGCCCTTTCTCACCCGGGCAGGCAGAGGCTAACATGGGCAGAGCCGCCTTGTCATCCGCCCGCCTCCGGAAGCGCTCCACGAACTCCCGCTGGCTCTCGAGCAGGCTGAAGTTTCTCGAGAAAGTTGTATCGAAGATAAAATGCACCCCTGAGGAAGGAAAGGAGGAGCGTGTTCCCAAAGAGGAACTGCAATGCTTAAAAAAAAACCTAGCAAGTGTCTCGGTACTGAGTAAATACCACTGATTCATATAACTCATTATCCTTTGGAGTTTCAGATTAAGCACCACTTACCTAATCTTTTAAAGAAGGCCGTCAGTTTCTTAGCTGTGTCTAGAGGTGTCAGTTTAAACCTTGCAGCAAGGGAGGCTCTGGACTGGGGAGAGATGGACACCACCACCAACTTCCTGGAAGCAGAATCCACCGTCTTAAAAAGAAAGACCATCGATATTAAGGACTTGCGAGGCAATCGCTGGACAAAACGCAAAACCCTTCTAATATAATAGAGAGAGACTTTGGTTTCAGTCGTAAGAGCACGCATTTCTTGAGAAGCCGTTTGCTTTGAGATGGTTGAATGATTTACGAAACATCTATCAGGAGTACTGTGAGCTCTGACAACATGTGTAAGATAGCTATTCTGGCCATGCCACACACAAAGGTAGCTTTGCACAAATCTTCACCAGATACAGGAGAGGCTGCTACCTTTCTCTGAGTCAGCAGAAGATCCAGTCTCCTAGCCAGATGGAAGATCAGAGCCAGGCGATGGTCTTCTCCTGCAGAAGGAGGACATGCTCGCTCTCCGATGACCTGGGTCATCATTACAGCTTGTCATCAACCACCACCTACCTTATTGACATTTAGCACTTTGGAAAGTTCTTCATGGCTCTGCTGGGTGATCAAGACACTTTCTGCTGATGTGATGCAGCCGCTGCAGGCCAGACAGTCGTTGAGAGTAATCTTGGCCTTTTCAAGCTTTTGCGAGGCACCATCCTACAACGGAGACCAAAAAATGTCCGAGAGCTCAGAGACACACAGAAATTCCTCCCGGTATTTGAACTGGATTCAGCAGGGTTTGAAATCGATCTTTTAAAAAGCGACTACACGGTGCACACGGATTTTTGCCTGGGAAGCGTGTTTTTTTGGTTGGAAAGCAAGGGCTGTGAGAGAATCATTTATTTTAAATCACCCGTGACATCCATTTATTTTCAATCCTATTGGCCTACGGAAGCTCCTCTGTGTGTGTAAATTGTGTCTTTGGGGTTTGACATTCCCTTCCGTGCTCTCTCTCCTTTTCCACTGCCCTCTTCTTGGTCTCAGTCTCTATCTCTCTCTCTGTGTGTGTGGAGGGAGTCAAAACATATCTGGTCAATTTCAGCCATGACTCCATGGCTCCCTCCTTCCTAAGCCTAGTCAATATCTTTGCTCCATTTCAGCAGGGGACCCCCATGGCTGTTTCTCTTCCTCTACCCTTCTGTCTGTCTGTCCGTCTCTCTGCCTGCATGCAGGTGCGTCAGGCCTCAGGGCTTCCCTCAGGAAAACCCTCCATGACAATGAGACCAAAAAAAAGGAGGGAACAGAGAAGCATTACCTCGTCCACTTGAAAATAAGAGCCGTCGTCTTCGATGCGGATCTTGGCTGCCGCTTTCCCGGGCTTCTTATCCACTTTGATGGGCTTTATACACTCCTGGGGAAGAAATTAGATCAGCAAATGGGTGAGATACCAAATCGAAGGGACGCCCGAAGGCAAACGAGACACAGCGTGACGTACGTAGACACAGGGAAGACAAACTGCCCTGCTAGGAGACCGAATTTTGCCTGGACTGTGTCGCACAGCGACATACTGTACGTCGTCCAGAAACTGTGGTTCTGCTTATTCACGCGGAAGGACGAGCCGTCTCATCATGAGCAGCCCCCTGCCCATGTGGGGGCGATCAACTTTACAAAAGACCTGCTCCCCCATGGATTCTTGGTTTTTTGGGGGGTGGGGGGGTGCCTTAGAAACGGCTTGCCTGCGGAATCTGGGCCGGGCTCCCTGCTCTCCGGGTGACCTTAGGCAAGCTGCTCCTTCTGAGCCTCGCCCAGCCACCTGGACCCTCTTCACTCTCCCCAGCCTACCTTGCAGGGCTGTTGGGAAGCCCCCCAGTCCCACTCCCAAAGAGGATGATGATGATGATGATGACGGAAGCCCTCGAACCAGCCTCTCTCGTGCTTTCTCCCCCCTTTCCAAAAAAAGTCCCCCCCCCCAGGCCTCCCTTTCCCCACCTGCGAGGGTCCGATATAATCGTCCAGGTCGGTCAGCTGGAGGACCCCGCTGAAAGGCGAAGGCGCCGCCATCTTGGGTGCCCCCCGCGGCCGTAAAGCGCTCCTGGGCAGGAGGGGCGCCCTTCCTGACACACTGCCGCAAAATGAGGGAGTGACGTCAACGGGGAGGGAGCGCTTTGCGTCCCGAACGCGGCGGGGATGGGTGCGGAGCATAGAAGTACTAAAAAAATGGAGAGGCGTGCTCCTACTCTCCTGGGCGAGGACTTCCGGGTCCATTTCGTGACAAATGCGGGGTTTTTTTGCACGACACGTGTCCCAGATCGTCCAGGAGGAAATGTTTGCTCTTCGGAAAAGGTGGAGAAAGAGTGTGGCTTTATCGCCTCTTTCATTCCCTCGCAACGGAGGAAATAAAGTAGTGGACTTTAAGTTGAATGCCATATATCACTCTATACTGCAATAGGTCTACATGTCACCCGAACGCTGGAACAGACGGTTCCCCAAGAGGGGGAGATGTGCAGGTTTCATCGTCAGCTCCGGCTCCCGATGGGCTGCCCTGGGAATCCTTCCCGGGTGCGGGGTGAAAGAGCCATAGAAACCCCGCCGTTCATCCATTTGAAGTGTCACACTTTGAAAAACACCCCCCCAAGAAACCTTAGAAACCCCGCCGTTCATCCATTTGAAGTTTCACACTTTGGAAAACACTCCTCTTCCCCAAGAAATCTGCATCTGTATAGATTTTTTATTTATATTTTAAAAAAAGATTTATTTTTTGCACGCACAGAATAGATTTGCACATTTCCCCAGCGGGTGGTTTTTGCACAGCAAAAAAGACAGGGTCGAGAAAATGCAAAAATGGATTTATTTAAAATATTCTTAACCCCGTCTTGCTCCTAAAAAGGACTGGAGGCGGCGGCTTACAGCAATGCAGAGACCCCATTTAAAAGCTAAGAGCAGCGTGTCTGCAAATCTTTCAAAAAAAGAATTAAACAAGTATTTTATATATGATGCTGCGTGACTCGTTCGTCTTCTATTCTGCTTTATCACATGAAGCATCTGGGGAGCGTTTCAGGGCTCGCGATGGGCTTGTCCAGACCCGCGGAATGAAGGCGGAATGCTTCGTATTCCCGGGTTTCAGGATTCCAAACTAGGAGAACGCTAGAAAAGGACGGCCAGGAGGACTCAGATGCACGGGCACGATTGTCTAACGTCAGAATGCAGCGGACCGGGACACGTATCTGCATTCATCGCCCGGAGGAGGCAGAGGACCGGGGGAAAGCGTTACAAGAACCGAGCCAAGAGCAGGCAGCCGGCCAACAGGAAGAGCTGGTCGGTGGCGGACGTTGCGGCACCTCTAGAGTAAGACGCGGTGGCCGCCGCGGGACCGGCTGAGGCTCCGTGGGAGAGATGATGGGGAGCGCCTCCTGTAGGGATGCGCGCGGAGGCGGGAGCATCATCTTCTCCAGGCGGGTTGTCCCTGCCGGTTTCAGGGACGTGCCCGTCCGCCTTTCCAGAGGGGTCTCCCCGAGAGTTGCGGGTTGGGTGGCGGCTGGGGAGGTTGCCCGGGGTGGTCCCGGAGACCTTGCCAGCTCTGCTTCCCGAGGGGCTGGAGGAGGTGGGGGTGCCTTCAAGGAGGGGGCCAGGGGCACCCCTGGAGAGGCGACCTTCATCATCTGCCTGGGTGGCCCTGGCATCACCAAGGACCCGAGTCCCATTTTGGGGGGTGGGAGGGGTGGCCCTTCCGTGGGTGCCACCCCTGTCTCTGGGACTGTGGGCTGGGGTGCTCCCCGGGGTGGGTCCCGGAAGGATCTCGCCTGGAGGACCCCCAAGCGTGGGATGAGCAGCCCCACCAGCTGTGCCCCTGGTGGTGGTGCCACCTCTGAGCCATGGATCCGTGGGACTTCCACGGAGGCCTCCGGAGCTGCTGCGATGAGATGTTCTTCCGGAGAGCCACAGGACTGCTGAGAATCAGAGAAGGGAGACAGTCAGCTGGGGAGCCATCATCATGACACATGCAATAATGCCTGTTCGCTGAGAAAATGATAAACCACCGCTCAGATCCCAAAACCCAGGTCTGCGACCTGAGGAACAGGCGTCGAGGAATACTTTCCATCCATCAGCCGTTCTGAAGACCTGTCTCCCACGCACAACACAGCGGAGTGGAAATGAACAGTTAAATCTGCTCCCGCTCTGGATTGCTCCGCTATGGCCTCGGAGCGGTCTTCCCTGGTCACATGCTTCGGACTACAACTTACATCATCCCCTGGGATGAGGAGGGGCTTCTTTCAAAAGCAAGGCCTCTTATCTTCCCTGCCACAGTTGACCTCCAAAGGTCTTCTCCCGAGCAGTCCCTATAACTCGCCCTGCCGTCTTTCCCTCACTTCGTATCCCAGTTCACTGCTTTGCCCCCCCCAACCTCTGTGTGTGTGTGTGTGTGTGTGATTGTAGACGATAGCTGTGAGAATTACCTGTAGGGTTGGGTTGACGACCCCCCTGATGGCAGAGGGCTTGGACGGCTCCCAGTTCTTCCTGGCGTAGAGCGAGGCTGGGGTGGAGAGCTGCGATTTCTTTCATTCTGTGGTGAGAAATGAGGACTTTTTAGGATACCCTTTTGGAGCGGGAGCTTTCGAATGATCTCCGAGGCCCTGGGCTTCCACCTGTCCTTGGCTCTCCTCCCTCTGTCTGCAGAGGGAGTCTTAAAACAGAACAGACTACTGTTGTGAAATAGAACGGTTCAGGCCGAAGAGCTGGGATCCTCTCTGGTTCGGGGGCAACCTATGGAGAGGGATGTTTGATGGAGAAAGTGACCCATTCCAGGTACCGTCCCGAAGATGGCCTTCCCTTGGGCCCCCTTTCCTTCCAGAACGGTTGACTTACGTGGCATAGAAGGTCTTGCACACCACCCTGGAATTATTTCGGGAGAGAGGAGATGTACCGAGAAGAGGCAGGAAAGTGGAGAGCAAAAGGTGGTAGATCTCAGCCCACTGGGAGGCCTTCATGGAGCGCCTTTCTCTCTTAAGGAAGAGCAGCACGTGGTCTAAGAGTTCTTGCTGTGTTTCAGGGTCGAGAACCCCCAGGGCAGAAGGTCCACCGCACAGAGGCGGGACTGGAGGAGGCTTGGTGCTCTGTGTTGAAAACACAGCATGCCATTAGCACAGGATTAAAGAAGCAGATCCCCTTTAAGCAGTCAACATTGTTTATCCCAATCCTAACTTTCCTTTCTTCTGTATGTTGCAAGTTAGCTTTTTTCCTCTGTGTTGTGACTGGTCATTGGGAGACCAACACAGGCCTTGTTTGCAAGCCTTGCTGCTCAAGCATGGAGCTTGGAAGGAACTACGTCTCTGAAGGGAAAATATATATTTTTATCATGACCCTTCTTGGACCGTGAGGCACAATGCCCGAGTTTCTCCCCCATCACCTCCCTTCACACAGGAACACGTAGTGTGTTGCTAAGGGGGTTTTTTGTCTGTTTGTTTACTCTGGACCTGTGTGTCGTTTCTTGCCGTCCAAAATGAGGGAATCTACCAGGATGCATGATTATGGGATTATGAACAGGAAGCCGTTTGTTGGAATTCCATATCCACAGCCATGCCTCCATGCCCATGTGCAGCAGAGAAATGGTGCAAAGGGTTGAGATAGCAACAGAAGCACAAAATGCTTTTTCAAAAGTTATTCATGAAAAAGGGGGCACTCCACGGACCCTTACCTGGCACGGGGTCTTTGTCAGCCTGGACAAGCTGTCACGGAGGGAATCATAGTCTCCCAAGCTCTTGATCAGCCCAACAGCAGTTGAGTCGTCCACCTGTGCTGGGTGGAGAGCAGGCAGTTTCTCCGTCTGGTGGAACAACATTCACCTCTCAGTAAAAATGGGGATTATTTCCTATTGGGGTCCAGATATTCAGACGCAGCCCGATATAATGGGAGCACATCCCTTGTTCGGGAAAAGCCAGGGAGAACGTCTAAGTGACTCAGACAAAAGGCTTTTTAGCTAAGCAGTCTTTCGTGGGGAGCATGCTTGGTGTTTACAGACACCTTGTCTGCTTATGCTATAAAAGATGGTGGCCCAGGTAGCCATTTCAGGCAGCTGTGAATTCAACAGCTGTATCAGTGAGGTTTTATTTCCCTTTGCTAGATTTAATTAAAGACAGCGCGCTGGTCCCTTCATGTGCTCCATAGGCCATTCCAAGGCTTCAAAAGGGGTCTTGACTCAGCCCATAGTGACTTGCACCTACCTCTGAGCTGATCTGTGCATTCAAACCACCCACCTCCCATGGACCTGCCCCAGAAAGCCTTCTTTGTTCGCAGACAAATGTGTACAAAATTTGAAAGGATAAAAACAAAAGAGGGGTATAAAGTAGCCACAGTTTAGACAGCTAGCTTGTGGCTTTCCATATATTTTTTAAAAGGTTGAAGTGATTTGAAACCTATCCAATTTCATATGTACAGTACTTGTGTTCCAAAAGGGTTCAAAAATGTTCATTCAGAAGTGAATCTGCTTCAATCCAGACCTCATACAAATCAGTCCAAACCTGCTCAGCTTGGATATGGTGATTCAGAGTTCGGCCAAATCCAGGGCACACCCCCGGTTTAACTTCGTCTATATTCCAACTTTACATCACATCTTTGAGACAAACCTTAGCCTAGTGGGGAAAAAGGTAGTCCGAAGGAACTGTTACATGGATAGCATTCCTGATAAGGAATCGTAAACACACATCAGGGTTTGGAAAAAGTTAGTTTTTTGAACTACAGTTCCCAGCAGCCACATGGTTGGGAGACTCTGGCAGTTGTAATCTGAAGAAAGAACTCCCACCCCACAGATCTTAGGGCTCAAAAATCCATCTTTAATCTCAAGTAGTTCCCAATTGCATTGTTGTTGAGAAATTGGTAAGTATTATTACAGTAGGACTCCTGAATCCATGCGGGATTAGTTCCAAGCCCCTTGTGGATGCTGAATAATGTGGATTATAGTAAATTTTATTTTAATAATGAATGCTATAAAAAGCATGGTCTATGGCTCCCTTTAGTGGCGAGTGCTGGTAACTTCAACTTTAGAAATATATGTTTCTAGGTTTTTTTCTTTTAATATTTTTAATATTTTCAGACCGTGGATAAGTGAATCAGTGGATATTGATCCTGTGGATATGGG